AATGGAAGACAGGGAGGAGGAGAGAGGGAAGAGAGGTTATTTGGAAGGGGAATCCCCCTCCATAAGGACTCTAGGGCACTAATAAAATGTATAAATGAACATACCTGCCTAGTATAGGCCAACAGGCCTGCTGCAGTGATCCTCCTTTCTTATGTTCTTATGAGTGAGAGGGGTTGGATTTGAGTGGGACTTGCACATCAGAGCTTATTTCTTGGGTAGCATTGAAAATTGGGTTGGGCAAATGTTATGTTAGTGGGATGAATTATAAAGGACCTGCCTAGTAAGGGCCAGAAGGCCTGTTGCAGTGTTCCTCCTTTCTTATGTTCTTATGGTAATAGGGGTAGTTGATGAGTGGAACGGTCTGCCTAGTAGGGTGATCGAAGCTAAAACATTGGGTAATTTCAAATTTAGGTTGGATAAATACACGAGTGAGAGGGGTTGGATTTGAGTCGGACTTGCACCTGAGCTTATTGCTTGGGTAGCATTTGTTCTGTTAGTGGGTTGGATTTGTGAAGGACCGGCCTAGTATGGGCCAGTAGGCCTGTTCCAGTGTTCCTACTTTCTTAAGTTCTTATTTAACATCACACTTACCAGTAGGGTGATCGAGGCTAGGACCTTGGGTAGCTTTAAGAAGAGATTGGACAAATATACGAGTTGGAGGAGCTGAGTTTGATTTGTGTCATTGGGTACGGGAGTAAATTCTTGGGTAGCTTTGGGTGGAGGTCATTTTGATAAGGACCTGCCTTGTATGGGCCAGTAGACCTGCAGTGTTCTTCCATTATGTTCTTATTGGCTATTTTTGTGTGAAGGAGGGATGGCAAGTTTATTGTTGTAATAAAGTTGGTAGAATTACCGACAATATGTAAAGTAAAAGGACACAAGTGCAACTAATGTGACATTTATTGTGGCAACGTTTCGCTCTCCAGGAGCTTTATCAAGCTTGATAAAGCTCCTGGAGAGCGAAACGTTGCCACAATAAATGTCACATTAGTTGCACTTGTGTCCTTTTACTTTACAAGTTTATTGTTGGAGAATATGACACTAATACCAACTCTATGGCTTATTTATCTATCACAATTCAACTAATATGACATAATAAACAATATTAATAACATAGAAACATGGAATATACTCTAGAATGAATAAAATAAGTCATTACGTATGTCACGAGAGGTGTTGTGTTGTGTTGTGTGTTGTTGTTGGGTATATAAGGGCCACTGAGTGTAAGCCGTCCATAATGGTGGTGAAACAGCAGCTGAGTTGGCGGTGGTTTTTGTAGCCCTATATAACTCCAACAACATTGGAGGAGTTGGTAGAATCGCTGAATCTCTAAAGAAGGAACCCTCTACCACCATCACTACTACCTTCTACCACCATCACTACCACCAAAGAAAGCTTCTAGTGCCAGCCCTAGATGGTGGTGGTAGAGTGGAAGCAGTTGAGATAGTGGTTGATGAACATAAGAACATATGAAAGGAGGAACACTGCAGCATGCCTGTTGGCCCATGCTTGGCAGATCCTTTACAATTCATCCCACTAACGAAACATTTTCCCAACCCAGTCCTTAATGCTACCCAAGAAATAAGCTCTGATAACTATCTACTCATTTGGGACTTGCAAATGAGTGGATAGAGTTATCAGAGCTTATTTCTTGGGTAGCATTGAGGACTCGGTTTGGAAAATGTTTCGTTAGTGGGATGAATTGTAAAGGACCTGCCAAGCATGGGCCAACAGGCCTGCTGCAGTGATCCTCCTTTCTTATGTTCATCAACCACTATCACAACTGCTTTCACTCTACCACCACCATCTTTGTATTTTTCTACAAACTTTTTCATAAATTATGTGTTTCTCACATTCTTTACAAAAGGGCTGGCACTAGAAGCTTTATTTGAAGCCATGGTAGCTTATTTAGCACTTGCAAGCACTAAAATCAATGGAATATTATGAAATATTTCGTAGAAGCATGTGAGGGGACCGTCACTCACTGGTAAACAATGGCACACTGGCTGGGAAGGAAAGGCCGAGGCGGCTCAGAGCGTGAGTATGCGTCCGGGACGAAGGACTATTAGGACTATTAGCGAGTTACTGGACCATTTGCGAGCCAATATTTTGATGAAAAAACAGGACTATTTCCGAAATGGACGACTTTCAGGCCGGACGATTATTGAGGGACCACTGTATTTAATAACATATATGTTATAAATAATAATAGTACATATTATTAATAACATGTATTATTATTAACATGTATTATTATTAACATGTATGTTATTAAATACCATTGCCTCAATCACTGCCTCTACCACTCCAGTCACACTCAATCTACAAGCACCAAACACAATGAATTATTGTGAAATGTTTGGAAGAGCAGGGAGACTAACGTTCACTCCAGCATAAACAAAGTCACACTGACGATGTGTCAACCACTCCCTCGTATTTTTGTACAATTTCCTTCTTCAATTATATCATATTTATTATTATTATTATTATTATAACTATTGTTATTATTAGCTGTAGCAGAAATGTTTAATTCTTTGCAGTGTTCAAGAGAAAACACATGATGTCACCGTCTAATACCTTTCCTAATAGCCATTCCAATATGCAGTCATGAATGGGTTTACATTATTTATACTGTAGTTTAATAGCAAATAATGAACAAACAAAATACTCACCACACTGAGTGGTGGGAGGGCTGGCTGCCAGTTGCAGGGGTTGGAGGGAGGGTAGTAGGGACTCGCAGGTGGCGGGAAACTTAAATATGATTTGGCGGCTGGGAATTTGGTGGCTGGGAATTTGGCGGTTGGGAATTCGCGAATGTCTGAAGTCCGTGAAAGTTGAAAACATGAATGTTGAGGGAGACCTGTATTCTTCAACTGGCCTAATAATAATGGACATTCTAGGAATAGTAAAAAAAAATTCATGGCCAAGTAGACTTGAGACAATGTTAAAAAAAAATTAACAATCATCTGTCAAATTAACCCTTTCAGGGTTTCTTGACGTACTAGTACGGCTTACACACCAGGATTATTGACGTACTAGAACGCCTAAATTCTAGCGCCTTCAAATCTAGTGAGGGAAAGCTGGTAGGCCTACATATGAAAGAATGGGTCTATGTGGTCAGTATGCGCAGTATAAAAAAAATCCTGCAGCACACAGTGCATAATGAGAAAAAAAAACCGACTGTTTTTGGTTTAAAACAGCGAATTTTCAGTGTATTTTCATATGGTATTTATGGTTGTATTCTAGTTTTCCTGGTCTCATTTTATAGAATGAAAGACATATTACAGAAATTGAGATGATTTTGATTGGTTTCATAATGAAAAGTACCTTGAAATCGAGCTCAAACTAGCAGAAATGTTCAATTTTTACCAAATTTCACAAGTAAACAAATCATGCCAAGCGTCCAATACACGTCAACTAATGAGTCTAATATTCTTTCAGAAGACCACTTATATTATTTATACCATTTCTACACAACTTCTACACTAATGCAGTAGTATGCATAACAGTAAATCTTCTGTTTTTTGTGAGAATAAAAATTCAAAGTGGAAAGCGAAAGAGATGTAAGAGGGGCCTGGGGATGTGACTAATGAACAGAGAAAATGTTATTTTAGTGCCAGGAATGTTTGTCTTGCTTATTCTGGACCCTGTTTGGAAACTGGCATCTTCTGAAATTTGTGTGAAATTGGCAAAATCTCCAATTTCTGACCACTTTATTGGATACTTGAAATCGGTAAATGAGTGGTTTCTTGTACTAATTCGATAGAAAAAATGGAGTTCTAGTGAAATAGATATGATTTTTGTCGACTAGTACACTTAAATTAGCCAAAAACAGGGCTTAAAGTGGGCAAAATCGCCGATGCATCAACATCGTCGAGACTGCTAACTTTGCGAGAGCATAATTCCCTAAGTTTTCCATCAAATTTCATACTTTTGGTGTCATTGTAATCGCAAAAAAAATCTATTATTTCATAAGAATTTTTTTTTTTTTCCAAAAAATTTTCGACCCTGAGAATGAGTTTAGGAGAGGGCCTCTCGACCCTGAAAGGGTTAAGAAAACTACTACATGCCCAGTGTGATATACCTATGACTAGTTTTGAGTCTTCTTACTCTCACAGCCTGACCTGGGGCCAGGCATTTCTGGTGATTGCCTAGCCAACCAGGCTGCTGCTGTTGGTAGCATGTTGGCCATCATCCATCATATCCTGGGTGACCTAGCAACCCCTTTACAGTATTAATGTTACCTCTATGGTAGAAAAAATTTTCATACAACATATTTCTTGCAGTACTTTACCAATACTATAAGAGATAAAATGGAAAAACTAATGGCAAGTGCCAATGTTGTTAATTACTCTTCACCTCTGAATACTTTCCAAATACAGTATACAGTCATCTTCCTAGAACATTAGAAAGAACAATCCTGAATAACCATAAAAAATTTAATGACCTTTCTTGTAAAACGAGTTTCTTCTACTTGTATAATGTCTTACCATGCCACAAGAGAGTGACTGAATTTTGGATCTTATTTCTTTCTGTTGTTTTGACAAATGGATTTTTTTTTTTTTGTATACAAAAACTTAGTGCAGATTATCTGTTTATATGTCTGTTAACAGTTCTAGAGATCACTGCCTCTGTGGCCCAGTCTCAAACTAAAAGAAAATACAGGACAAAACCTATAAAAGGGAGCTATGGGCTAGTAACCCTTCCTGTATAAATTACTAAATTTAAAAAGAAAAGCTTCTAGTTTTTTAAGGTCACCCTGCCTCGGTGGGGTACAGCCAGTGTTAAAAAAAAAGAAACTATGAAAAATACACAGGTTAATGAAGATAAGCATATACTGAGTGTAAGTAGAAGTTACAAAGATTTACTGACTATATTACTTCCCCATAGGGGCTCACATGCCATGTGTGTGTGTGCACTTCCTTGAAAGAAGAGCTCATCATTTAATAATCCACAACAGTCAAACTCTAGAAAGAATATATCCTCAGCAAACCTCTTACCTTGCTCTCCCCAGAGGGAATATAATGATTATTATGCTCCAAGATAAAGCTAAGTTCTTTTTTATTCAGTGTTTTGCTTAACCCATCACGATACTTAAACATTTTCTTGCTCTGTTTACGAACAGCTTCCTCATCTTCAGTTTTAATTTTTTTAGATGCGATATCTGGTTCGTCCTCTGCCTTGCGTTTTCTAAAAGTATAATACGTACACTTAACTATAAATAAAATATTAACATGTATACCAATAGAAAGACTTTTTTTTCAAATATTCATAAATATATAGAAGACTGCAGCTAGTTTGGCAAAGATGTTTAAGTACCTTACTGTAACAATTTTTTTAATAATAATAAATACAGTTAAAAAGATTTCAGAGTACTACTTACACTTCAATTTTCTTCAGCTTTTCCTTTAACATTTTCTTATCATCAGCAGAAAGTGTGTTAAACCCAGGAAGCATGTCTGCACTCTCAAAAAATTCTAGCTCTGCACGCTTTTTTACAAAGCAATCCACATGATGCCACTGATCCACAGGCCCATACATTTTTGCACTTTCACTGTCAAACTCTTTCTTACTAATTCTTACTTCATCCTGTAATTAGGTATAGTAATCTTGCAAGTAAAAGAATAGCAATGAAAAAATTTAGTTACAATACTGATACAGTTAAGTTTATGAACACAATTCTGGTAATTAACATGGATATAACAAAGATGGAGGAAACATTTTGAGGAACTGTTAAATGCTGTTGAAGATAGAGCTGTGATTTCATGCATTGGGCACGGATGTATAACATCTTGTAGAAGCGACGAAGAGCCAGTAGTGCATGTGGGGTAGGTGCATGAGGCAGTGGGTAGAATGAAATGGGGTAAAGTAGCTGGGTTTGAAGAGATTAAGACAAATGTTAAAAGCAGGTGGGGATATAGTTTTGGAATGGTTGGTTCATTTATTTAATAAATATATGAAAGAGGTGATGAGGGTATCAAATGATTTAGATAAAGAAAAATTGGATATCAAATTGGGGAGGAGTAGTATGGAAGAAGAAAATGTTTTCAGATACTGTACTTGGGAGTTGACGTGTCGGCAGATGGATTTATGAAGGATGAGGTTAATCATAGAATTGATGAGGGAAAAAAGGCGAGTGGTGCGTTGAGGTATATGTGGAGTCAAAAAACATTATCTATGGAGGCAAAGAAGGGAATTTATGAAAGTACAGTAGTACCAACACTCTTATATGGGTGTGAAGCTTGGGTTGTGAATACAACAGCGAGGAGGCAGTTGGAGGCAGTGGAGATGTCCTGTCTAAGGGCAATGTGTGGTGTAAATATTATGCAGAAAATTCGGAGTGTGGAAATTAGGAGATGATGTGGAGTTAATAAAAGTATTAGTCAGAGGGCTGAAGAGATGATGTTGAGGTGGTTTGGTCATTTAGAGAGAATGGATCAAAGTAGAATGACATGGAGAGCATTTAAATCTGTAGGAGAAAGAAGGCGGGATAGGGGTCATCCTCAAAAAGGTTGGAAGGAAGGGGTAAGGGAGGTTTTGTGGGCGAGGGGCTTGGACTTCCAGCAGGCGGACATGAGCGTGTTCGATAGGAGTGAATGGAGACGAATGGTATTTGGGACCTGACGATCTGCTGGAGTGTGAGCAGGGTAATATTTAGTGAAGGGATTCAGGGAAACCGGTTATTTTTATATAGCCGGACTCGAGTCCTGGAAATGGGAAGTACAATGACTGCACTCTAAAGGAGGGGTTCGGGATATTAGCAGTTTGGAGGAATATGTTCTCTCTATACGTATATGCTTCTAAACTGTTGTGTTCTGAGCACCTCTGCAAAAACAGTGATTATGTGTGAGTGAGGTGAAAGTGTTGAATGATGATGAAAGTATTTTCTTTTTGGGGATTTTCTTTCTTTTTGGGGATTTTCTTTCTTTTTGGGTCACCCTGCCTCGGTGGGAGACAGCCGACTTGTTGAAAAAAAAAAAAATGGGTGGGAAAGGTACCTAGGGACTGGCAGAGCATGCATAGTTCATTTGTACAAAGGCAAAGGGGACAAGGACTGGCAGAGCATGCATAGTTCATTTGTACAAAGGCAAAGGGGACAAGAGAGTAAAAATTATAGGGGAAATAAGCTTGAGTATACCTGGTAACATGTACGGTAAAGTTATTATTGAAAGAATTAAGAATAAGAGACTAGGAAAGCAGATGAACAAGGAGGCTTAAGGAAGGGTAGAAGGTGTGTAGACCAAGTGTTTACATTGAAGCACATAGGTGAACAGTAATGAGATAAGGGTAAAGAGGTTTTCGTTGTATTTATGGATTTGGAAAAGGCATGTGATAGGGTGGATAAGGGAGCAACATGGCAGATGTTGCAAGTACATTTAACAAGTGGAATTTACTGAAAGCAGTTAAGAGTTTTTATGAGGACACTGAGGCACAGATTAGAGCATGTAGGAGAGAGGGGGAAAGAGAGGTTATTTCCCAGTAAAAGTAGGCCTTAGAAAGGGATGTGTGATGTCACCATGGTTGTTCAATATATTCATAGATGGAGTTGTAAGAGAAGTGAATGCTAGGGTGTTGGCAAGAGGTGTGGGATTGAAAGATAAATACTAACACAAAGTGGGAGTTGGCACAAGTACTTTTTGTTGATGACACTGTGCTTTTGGGAGATTCTGAAGTTGCAGAGGTTGGTGGACAAATTTGAAATGGTATGTAAAAGGAAATTAAAAGTGAACATAGGAAAAAGCAAGGTGATGAGGATAACAAAATCCTTAGGTAATGAAAAATTGGATATCAGATTAAAGGGAGAGAGTATGGAGGAAGTGAATGCATTCAGATATTTGGGAGTGGACACTGGACATGTCAGCAGATGAGTCTTTGAAAGACGAGGTGAATCAAAGAATTGATGAAGAGAAAAAGGCAAGTGGACCACTGAGGAGTCTGTGGAGAAAAGGAATGTTATCCACTGAAGCAAAGAGGGAATGTATGAGAGCACAGTAGTACCAACACACTCATATGGGTGTTAAGCACAGGTGGTGAATATTGCAACAAGGAGAAGGTTGGAGGCAGTGGAGACGTCGTGTCTGAGGGCAATGTGCGGTGTGAATATAATGCAGAGAATCCGTATCTTGGTGATTAGGAGGTGCAGGGTTAGTAAAGGTATTATCCAGGGGGCTGAGGAGTTGTTGAGGTGGTTCAGACATTTAGAGAGTACAGAACAAAATAGAATGACTTGGAGGGTGTATATATCTGTAGTGGAAGGAAGGCGTGGGAGGGGATGTCCTAGGAAAGGTTGGAAGGCGGGGGTAAAGAAGGTTTTGTGTGCAAGGGGCTTGGACTTCCAGCAAGAGCACTTGAGCATGTTAGATAGAAGCAAGTGGAAACAAATGGGTTTTATGACGATGTGCTGCTGGAGTGAGCAAAGTAACATTTATGAAGGGATTCAGGGAAACCATTTAACTGGGCTTGAGTCCTGGAGTAAGAAGTGTGGTCCCTGTGCTCTGAAGTGAAGGTGGGGTGTTGATATGTTGCAGTTTTTCAACTAGTGTAGACATGCCTCTGGCAAGATAGTGTTGGAGTGTATGATGATGAAAGTTTTTTTTTTTTTTTTGTAATAAAAATAACAGACAATATGGCTAGAAATTATACATCCAAATAAGCCACAGGGATATCAGAAAATATATCAACACAAGAGTAGTAAAGAAGTGAAATGAACATTGACAAAGAGGAAGCAGACAATTCAGGGAAACAAAAATATATGTATCACTGGAAAGTTCTTGTGGGTTTTAGAGCCCACTTATTATTTCCTTTCATTACCTTACAATTATTTGCTAATCTTTTAAATGTCATAGTAATTACCAAAATACCTACAATGTCCTTACCTTTAATATCTTGTCCTCGCATCCTCTACATTTAGCCCGGCCACTCTTGGCATATTCAGCAAGAAAATCCAGCATACCACCTTTGGCTGCTGCTTTCTTTCGTCCTTTAGTGCTACTGCCTTGAACAACAGCTGCACCACCACCACTAGCATTTTCTTTAAGATTAATAAAGTATATGAAATTAATTTCACACACAAGGGAGGAAGACAATACAACAGGACAAGCGACATTTAGCAGACTCAACAAAAAAATGATAAAATATGCTAATTGTTAGTTCATGTGTATATAAGCCTAATCACCAAATTTTTAATATGCTCTTCCCTTCTAGTGGTCACTATTCAGACCTACAAGCATAAATAAAAATATATGGGCAGTACTGCATATCATTTGCAAAAATAATGAAAAATATATAGAAAAATATTATGGTAGTAGGTTGGTAGACAGCAACCACCCAGGGAGGTACTACCGTCCTGCCAAGTGAGTGTAAAACGAAAGCCTGTAATTGTTTTACATGATGGTAGGTTTGCTGGTGTCTTTTGTCTGTCTCATAAATATGCAAGATTACAGCTACGTCTTGCTACTTCTACTTACACTTAGGTCACACTACACATACATGTACACGTTTATTTATACACACTCATCTGAGTTTTCTTTGATTTTATCTTAATAGTTCTTGGTCTTATTACTTTTCCTTTTATATCCATGGGGAAGTGGAATAAGAATCTTTCCTCCGTAAGCCATGCGTGTTGTAAAAGTCAACTAAAATGCCGGGAACAATGGGCTAGTAACCCCTTTTCCTGTAAAGATTACTAAAAAGAATAAGAAGAAAATTGTCAAAGTGGGAAGTCTGAATGTGCGTGGATGTTGTGCAAATGATAAGAAAGAGATGATTGTGGATGTTATGAATGAGAAGAAACTGGATGTCCTGGCTTTAAGTGAAACAAAGCTGAAGGGGGTGGGAGAGTTTCAATGGAGAGGAATAAATGGGATTAGGTCAGGGGTTTCAAATAGAGTTAGAGCTAAAGAAGGAGTAGCAATAATGTTGAAGGATAAGCTATGGCAGGAAAAGAGGGACTACAAATGTATAAATTCAAGGATTATGTGGAGTAAAATAAAGATTGGATGTGAAAAGTGGGTTATAGTAAGCGTGTATGCACCTGGAGAAGAGAGAAGTGTAGAGGAGAGAGAGAGATTCTGGGAAATGTTGAATGAATGCGTGGGGAGTTTTGAATCAAGTGTGAGAGTAATGGTGGTTGGGATTTCAATGCTAAAGTGGGTAAAAATGTTATGGAGGGAGTAGTAGGTAATTTTGGGGTGCCAGGGGTAAATGTAAATGGGGAGCCTTTAATTGAGCTGTGTGTAGAAAGAAATTTGGTAATAAGTAATACATATTTTATGAAAAAGAGGATAAATAAATATACAAGGTATGATGTAGCACGTAATGAAAGTAGTTTGTTAGATTATGTATTGGTGGATAAAAGGTTGATGGGTAGGCTCCAGGATGTACATGTTTATAGAGGGGCAACTGATATATCGGATCATTATTTAGTTGTAGCTACAGTTAGAGTAAGAGGTAGATGGGAAAAGAGGAAGGTGGCAACAACAAGTAAGAGGGAGGTGAAAGTGTATAAACTAAGGGAGGAGGAAGTTCGGGCGAGATATAAGCGACTATTGGCAGAAAGGTGGGCTAGTGCAAAGATGAGTAGTGGGGGGGTTGAAGAGGGTTGGAATAGTTTTAAAAATGCAGTATTAGAATGTGGGGCAGAAGTTTGTGGTTATAGGAGGGTGGGGGCAGGAGGAAAGAGGAGTCATTGGTGGAATGATGAAGTAAAGGGTGTGATAAAAGAGAAAAAGGTAGCTTACGAGAGGTTTTTACAAAGCAGAAGTGTTATAAGAAGAGCAGAGTATATGGAGAGTAAAATAAAGGTGAAGAGAGTGGTGAGAGAGTGCAAAAGGAGAGCAGATGAAAGAGTGGGAGAGGCACTGTCGAGAAATTTTAATTAAAATAAGAAAAAATTTTGGAGTGAGTTAAACAAGTTAAGAAAGCCTAGGGAAAGTATGGATTTGTCCGTTAAAAACAGAGTAGGGGAGTTAGTAGATGGGGAGAGGGAGGTATTAGGTAGATGGCGAGAATATTTTGAGGAACTTTTAAATGTTAAGGAAGAAAGGGAGGCGGTAATTTCATGCACTGGCCAGGGAGGTATACCATCTTTTAGGAGTGAAGAAGAGCAGACTGTAAGTGTGGTGGAGGTACGTGAAGCATTACGTAGAATGAAAGGGGGTAAAGCAGCTGGAACTGATGGGATCATGACAGAAATGTTAAAAGCAGGGGGGATATAGTGTTGGAGTGGTTGGTACTTTTGTTTAATAAATGTATGAAAGAGGGGAAGGTACCTAGGGATTGGCGGAGAACATGTATAGTCCCTTTATATAAAGGGAAAGGGGACAAAAGAGATTGTAAAAATTATAGAGGAATAAGTTTACTGAGTATACCAGGAAAAGTATACGGTAGGGTTATAATTGAAAGAATTAGAGGTAAGACAGAATGTAGAATTGCGGACGAACAAGGAGGTTTCAGAGTGGGTAGGGATGTGTAGATCAAGTGTTTACATTGAAGCATATATGTGAACAGTATTTAGATAAAGGTAGGGAAGTTTTTATTGCATTTATGGATTTAGAAAAGGCATATGATAGAGTGGATAGAGGAGCAATGTGGCAGATGTTGCAAGTATATGGAATAGGTGGTAAGTTACTAAATGCTGTAAAGAGCTTTTATGAGGATAGTGAGGCTCAGGTTAGGGTGTGTAGAAGAGAGGGAGAATACTTCCCGGTAAAAGTAGGTCTTAGACAGGGATGTGTAATGTCACCATGGTTGTTTAATATATTTATAGATGGGGTTGTAAAAGAAGTAAATGCTAGGGTGTTCGGGAGAGGGGTGGGATTAAATTATGGGGAATCAAATTCAAAATGGGAATTGACACAGTTACTTTTTGCTGATGATACTGTGCTTATGGGAGATTCTAAAGAAAAATTGCAAAGGTTAGTGGATGAGTTTGAGAATGTGTGTAAAGGTAGAAAGTTGAAAGTGAACATAGAAAAGAGTAAGGTGATGAGGGTATCAAATGATTTAGATAAAGAAAAATTGGATATCAAATTGGGGAGGAGGAGTATGGAAGAAGTGAATGTTTTCAGATACTTGGGAGTTGACGTGTCGGCGGATGGATTTATGAAGGATGAGGTTAATCATAGAATTGATGAGGGAAAAAAGGTGAGTGGTGCATTGAGGTATATGTGGAGTCAAAAAACGTTATCTATGGAGGCAAAGAAGGGAATGTATGAAAGTATAGTAGTACCAACACTCTTATATGGATGTGAAGCTTGGGTGGTAAATGCAGCAGCGAGGAGACGGTTGGAGGCAGTGGAGATGTCCTGTCTAAGGGCAATGTGTGGTGTAAATATTATGCAGAAAATTCGGAGTGTGGAAATTAGGAGAAGGTGTGGAGTTAATAAAAGCATTAGTCAGAGGGCAGAAGAGGGGTTGTTGAGGTGGTTTGGTCATTTAGAGAGAATGGATCAAAGTAGAATGACATGGAAAGCATATAAATCTATAGGGGAAGGAAAGAGGGGTAGGGGTCGTCCTCGAAAGGGTTGGAAAGAGGGGGTAAAGGAGGTTTTGTGGGTGAGGGGCTTGGACTTCCAGCAAGCGTGCATGAGCGTGTTAGATAGGAGTGAATGGAGACGAATGATACTTGGGACCTGACGATCTGTTGGAGTGTGAGCAGGGTAATATTTAGTGAAGGGATTCAGGGAAACCGGTTATTTTCATATAGTCGGACTTGAGTCCTGGAAATGGGAAGTACAATGCCTGCACTTTAAAGGAGGGGTTTGGGATATTGGCAGTTTGGAGGGATATGTTGTGTATCTCTATACGTATATGCTTCTAAACTGTTGTATTCTGAGCACCTCTGCAAAAGCAGTGATAATGTGTGAGTGTGGTGAAAGTGTTGAATGATGATGAAAGTATTTTCTTTTTGGGGATTTTCTTTCTTTTTTTTGGGTCACCCTGCCTCGGTGGGAGACGACCGACTTGTTGAAAAAAAAAAAAAAAAAAAATATAGAAAAATTACAACAGTCGTAAGTTTCTGCAAACTCATCCCCAATCATCTTGCTTGATTTCAATATACTGTACCTGAAACTGAAGAATGTGTCAAACACTGTAATAAGAAATAAAATACCTAGAAATAGCTCACCTATCTGTCACGTACATAACCTGATAGTCGCCTTAAGTCTGCAAATAGTAAAACCAACCAGACTGGAAAATACCTTTGACCCTGAATGCACAAATAATAATTATATAATTTGGTACAGAACTAAAGTGTGTGTGTGCGTACTTGCGTAATTGTGGTTGCAGGGGTCAAGACTCAGCTCCTGGCCCCACCTCTTCCCTGAACGCTACTAGGTCGTCTCTCTCCCTGCTCCATGAGCTTTATCATATCACGTCTTAAAGCTATGTATGGTTCCTGCCTCCACTACATCACTTGCTAGACTATTCCACTTCCTGACAATTCCATGACTGAAGAAATACTTCCTAACATCCCTTTGACACATCTGAGTCTTCAACTTCCAAGCATGACCCTTTGTTTCTGTATCCCCTCTCTGGAAAATCCTGTCTCTGTCCACTCTGTCTATTCCACACAGTATTTTGTATGTCATTATCATGTCTCCCCTAACCCTCATGTCCTCCAGTGTCGTCAAGGTGATTTCCCTTAACCTTTCTTCATAGGACATTCCCCTTAGCTCTGGAACTAATCATGTCGCAAACCTTTCCACTTTCTCTAATTTCTTGACATGCTTGACCCAGTGTGGGTTGCAAACTGGTGCTGCATACTCCAGCATGGGCCTTGTACACGGCATACAGTGTCTTGAACAATTCCTTACCAAGGTTTCAGAGCACTATTCTCAGGTTTCCCAGGCACCCAGATGCTGCAGCAGTTATCTGGTTGATGTGTGCTTCCGGAGACGTGCACAGTGTTATGCTCACCCCAAGACCTTTCTCCTTGAGCAAGGTTTGCAGTCTTTGGCCATCTAACCTATACACTGTCTGCCATCTTTGCCCTTCCCCAATCTTCATGACTTTGTATTGGGCAGGGTTGAA